GGGTATTCTTTGCCTTTCTTCTAAACTCCAAGGGCCCTTTTTTGCTTCTGTAATGTGTTTCCTGAGCATAGGCAGCCCAGCTGGCTCACTTTAGCTACCTCTGTAACTTTCTATATAAACTTTCCCTTATAATTTGCAAAAGACACACAACTTTTATTATAGTTAAAAGAATTAGTTAACACCTTTTCTGCACCTATTGAGAGGTTTTGCTTTAACCTTGTTACAGATTATATTATTTGAATCTCTATTTTTAGACCCTCTCATTTCTGAAATACTCAATTGGCGTATTTGGTTCACTAATTTTTTATCTTGCATCTATGTTCATGATTGTTTAACCTGTATTTTCCTTTTCTTCCTATGAAATGTCTGGTTTTGGTATTAGATAGATCCTATTATAAAAGACTCATAAAATTTCACTTTTTATTTTTTAAAATGTCTTTATTAATTTCAGAGAGAGGGAGAAACATCAATGAGTCATTGATCAGCTGCCTCCTGCACGCCCCTTGCTGGGGATCGAGCCCACAACCCCGGCATGTGCCTTGACCGGGAATCAGACTGCAATCTTCTGGATCCTAGGTCCATGCTCAACCGCTGAGCCACGCCCAGCCAGGCTCTAGCAATTACTTTAGAGTTTCTAGTTTATTGGTCTAAGGTTCATATCTTACCACCTTAATATCTATAATTATGTATCCTTTTTATTTATGGATTATCTTTATTGTTGAAAGTATTAGAAATGTCCCTTTTTCCCTCATTGATTCCCTCCACTCAGCCCCAGGCCTGCACACTACGTCTGTATCCATGGGCTATTCATGTATGTGTAAGTTCTTTGGTTAATCTCCCCCACACCCCACCCCGAAATTCGTCAGTCTGTTCCATGCTTCTGTCTCTAAATCTATTTTGTTCATTTGACTCCACATGAGTGAGATCACGTGATACATTAGCCAGGAGCAATGCCCCCTTGGCATCCATGTAGAGGGGCTGCCAAGAGGTAGACCTCAGGAGGGAGAGTCAACCTGGCACTTCCTAGGACTGTCCACAGATCTGCCTGGGACCAAGTCTCCCCTAAGGGGCCTGTAGAGCTTGTGCAGACTTGCTTCTGGATGGGGCCAAGCAGGGGTAGAGGCCAGGCGTGGGTGGGAATGAGCAGTGTTCTTCACAGACCATAAAATCCACTTCAAATGTTCTATTTCTAAAGCCAAATAGCAGCATCCTTCTTCTAGCCCCCAAAGTGAAAATCTCAGAGCAGCAAGGGGCGAGATGCAAACTCTCTCCCCTGGGGCTCCACGGGGGACAGACTGAGCCACAGGGGATGAGCAGCAGCAAGGGGAGAAGGTATGCATCTTCCACCCTGATGAGCACAATGCTGCCCCCTGCAGACATGCCAGAGACATGACTTGAAACCTCACAGAGTCAAGCTGGTCCCCTTTGTTTCTCCTTAGCAGAAGACCTGTGCACGGGAAATGAGGGCTCTTATCCGATCCAGGGATGGGACCTGAGTGGACAAGAGAAACTGCAGACAGTACAGGTGGCCAGATGTCAGTTCCAATGATAGTTTTTATTCCCTAGGAACAAAGATATGTGGGAAGGAACTCCAAAAGGAAAGAGGAGCACAAGTAACAAAATACTAGGGTGGTGTGGCTCAGGAGTCAGATGGACATTCCACAGTGGACCTGGTCGTGCCCTGGTTTCTAAGATCGATATCTGCCCCATCCCCAAGTGCCCACTGGAGGTGGGGCTTGGGGGCAGTGGGGTGGAAAGCTTCCCCTACTCTACACAAAGGAGATGAATATGCGTCTATTCTGAGGCTTCCTAGGAACACCAAAACCTCCCTCTCAAGAATGGAGGTAGACAGATTAGAATGAGAGGGGCCTGTCTGTGGTGTCACAACCTAAAAGTAGTCACAGGGGCCTTTGTGGCTTAGATGGGACACAAGGAAAGCAACAGCTAGTTTATGGAGGAGGTGGTCAACTTTGCCGGATCAGGCCCCATGACAGCTGTAACCTGCACTGCAGGTTTCATCCACTTCAAATGAGCCTGAAGTTGAATCAGAAGTCATTGTCCTTTTCCATATGATTCCCATGACCTGACAGCTTTTACCACAGCACACCCTTAAGATCATAAGGTCCTTTGGTTTGGGTTAGGTCATGCGATCCAGCCCCCTGCAGGACACATCAAGCAGCTCATCCCTGTGCCACAGGGTAGACTTGTTGGGCTGGTTCCTGAGTCCAGATCACAGTGAGGTCTCCTGGAGGATGAAGGTGGGGCTGCTCCCCTGGTGCCCTGGGCCCTCCTCAGGCCCTGCCATGGCCTCCTCGTCTCCGCTGCCCTTCAGCATCCCATTACTCATCTTCTCTGGGAACACCGTGGTGTCTACAGGGAGGTCCTGGGGACACACAGAGCAAAGGGAGTGGAATGGGGAGTAGGGGACAAAGGGTTGGGAAGCAACTCAAGCGGAAAGACCCTGCTTTGACCGCAGCTAGAAAGCAGAGCAGCATGAAGGGGACAGGAGAGGCCAGCACGCTATGTGCCTCTCTGCACTCAGATCCTTCTGCCCACCAAGCCAGCGCTCTCCTGAGGAGCCAGGGCAGCTGCTGCAGGATGGTCCAAGCTCAGGCAAATAACCAGAGGAAGGGGTGCTGGGTCGGGGGAGAAAGCAAAGGGATGGAAGGGAACTGGGAAGGTCTGGAGAGGGGTGGAAGGGGAGATATGACAACACAGGCGCTACCTGGCTGTAGCTCTTACAGTGAAGTGGCTTCTGACAGGACATAGGCAGGAAGGCAAGGAGTCTTGGCAACACTGGGTAAATGGTCCGAGGGTTCAGGGTCCGGCCCCGCATTCCCCCTGAAGGTCAAGGAGCTTGAGTCTTACTGTGTACAACCGAGCAAGCCCTGTTCTCAGGGCTCCCAGAACCAGTCCTGCCCACCTCCTGGAGCCTCAGCCAAGAAACTTGATTGTTAAAGATACCAGGAGCCCAGAGGGTAGGGTCCATTCTCCCCCTAAAGTCCAGATTCCCTAAGCGCCCTCCCTCAACCCATCCTATTTCTATGTGACCCCATCCCACACCCTCTCACCAGTGAGGAGACTGACAATCAGGCCCACCACAATGACTGTGGTGGAGTTGTGAGCACTGTACCATAAATATGACAGGGAATAGAGCCGCTGCAGCCCTGTGGGCCTGGGGAAAACAGAGGGGTGAGGACAATTGAGAGGGCATTCCTTGGCCACCTGGCTCCACCCACCTGCATGGTCCCAGGGTCTTGGGATCCAATATCCAACATTTCCCCAAGGCTTCTGGTAGCCCATTCCTTAGCAAGGCTCCTGGGAAACCCCCCCAAAATGAGCCATTCCCCTCAAGGAGAAAGAAAATGAGGCCCAACTCACCTGGAGAGGGTAGTTGAGGGCATCAATGTGGTCATGGCAACGTCAGAAAGATTGCTGGGCAGGGAAAGGCTGGACCCATTAAAGGGTGAGGGTGCCATGCCAGAGCCCATTTTGGTCACTATGCTCCCAATGCCAATCCAGAAGGCCATGAGGAGTCCAGCCAACAGGCCCACAATAGCACCCTGCTCAAAGACACGGCACACTCTTGTCACAATGCCAGCCCTATCAAAACCCCACACACCAGTTCCTAGCACTCAGAGTGCCTGCCCTGCCAAGCTATCTCCTAGGTTCATCCCTGCACGTGACAGTAGAGCCAGATGTGTTACTCACAGGAGGATTGGCACAGGGAAAGAACATCCCAAGGCAGAAGAGTCCGAGCAGTGGCCCCCCAACCATGCCAAAGATGCTGAGTGCTGCCTGTGGAGAACAGGGTTGGGAAAAGAACACATCGGCTCAGAGCCCCCCAGCCTCACCAGCACTGCCTCAGAGTCCTGTCAGATCTGCCTGCCTATCCCCTCTGTCTGGAGCCCGTCACAATGCAGGATCCCAGAGGTCAGAAATGGGAAAGGGAAAGTGCTTTGGGCTCTCCTCTGAGGCTGATCCTTAGAAGTCTGAGCCATCATCCTAGGAATGACCCTGGGCTTTTGGCTACGTGAATCTGTTCACAGCTAAAGATAGTCCATTCAAAGGGGAATTTCTGACACCTGCCCCTATGCCACTCCCTTCACAATAGCTATCTTCCTCAATTTCCAGTTTCAGTCTGTTCCCTTTCTCCCCTAAAAATTGCTGTCTTCCCTCCAGTCATTACCTGCAGTACTGGTCCCATCTGGGAGGAAATATAGGCCATTCCCAGACAAAGCAGACCATAGCCAAAGGCTGGGGAAAAAGAAGGGAGGAAACAAGATGTGAATTAACACAAAAAAGGGGTGAAAAGTAGAGCAAAGTTCCTTCCCCAGCCAAATCACTACCTCATGCCCCAGCTACAGGTCCCTCCCACCCTGTCCTCATACATGTCTGACACAGAGACCCCCCAGGAAGTGCCCTGAGCTTTGAACAAGGTTGTGAGCTTCATTCAACAAGTGCTAAGGCCAGGCTAAAGCTGGTGCTTTAAAGCAGACTGGCGACAGTGCTTAGGGTGTATCTTAGACTGAAGAGGAAGCATAATCCCACCAAGGATTCTGGAAAGCATGGTAGCCCGGACTTCTGAGAACTCAGGGAACCAGGGTCGAATCAGGTCTTCCATAGTAACTGTTGCCAATGAATTAAAAGCAGAGGATATGGTGCTGAAAGGAGAAAGAGAAAGACAAGTTGCACTGAGAGAAGCAAAACTAACAAACGACTCTATTGTGGGATAGCACCCTTAAGGTAAGAAATGACATGTGCAGCCAAGAATCCTTCCTTATGGTTGGCAGCCAAGGAAGAGGCCTGGAAGGTAAGGACACGACATTTTCTGAGTGGGGCACAGGTTTTGTGCAGCAGATCAACTGGTATTATAGAAGAATCCTTTAACAAAAAAGAGAGCATTCTCCTAGAAGAGGACATGCTCTGTCTACACAGATGAGCTGTCCCTTGCCACCCGCAGATGGATGGACATAATGAGGGATCCCCTCCTCTACCCATCACTCTGTACTAAGTAAGGGTCAGCTGCAGCAAGCCTGAGGGAAATAGTCAAAGAGGGTACCTGAGGGAGCCACTGAAGAGGCAGGCAACGAAGAGCCCGGGCAGGCCTGGCAGGCCTTTCAGGAGATCCATCACAAAATACAGGGCGAACTGCAGGCAGAGCAGAAGTACATAGCTCTCCTGAGAGGGGAGCCCTTCCCCAGAGCAAGACGTACAGGAAGTCTCCCTGCACATGCCCCAGCCAGTCTGGAGCATCAGGAAAAGGGGCCATGCACAAGGGTGACAGCAGAGAAAATGGGCTCTGGAAAGCGATGCAGTTCATACCCCAGCACACTGGCCCCATTGTTGAGCCGCTTTTCTCTATAAAAGGAGGCTGTTGGGTTACATGAGACCAGGTGGGTGACAGCTCCCAAGAGGGCATATGGTGCACAGTGGTGAGTCAATGAAGGTAGGTCCCTACCCAGCCAGGGTAAACAATGTGATTAGATGATGCTGGGGTTTGGGGTCCTCACTAGATGGATAGATTCCCAGAGTGGAATTAAATCCACTTGCTGCCCAAGGTGGGAGTCCTTTCTGCAGCCTCCCAGATACTCCTCCTGGGCACAGAAGGGGGCCAGGAAGACCTTTTCACCTGGTCAGGGGCTGCCTGACTCTGCTGGGTGCTCATGGGATACTCCTTGTAATAGGCGAACATGACCAGGCCAATGAGGCAGCCCATGCAGAGGACCACCTGCTGGCAAGGGAAGACAGCATAGCAGGAGCTGCAAAAGAGGTCAGGGTCAAGGGGAGAGAGGGGCTCAACAGATACCCTCAAGCATGTCCCCAAGACCCAGAAAGCAGACTCTTGTCCTGACCCCAGTGGATGTGTGCTGACATCCTGCCCCCACCCAAACTGCCTCCGTGGAACCGGGGCCCACCCTCTCCCTCCAGCCCTTGCTCCCTTGTCTTCCCGTCCCTGGACTCACAGTATAGCAGCCTTCTCCGTGCGGGAGCTGAGGTAGCGTTGCACCTGAGCCTGGTTCACCCCATACAAGGAGAGCATCATGAAGATACCCCCGAAGGCCAAGGTCCAGAAAGTGTGCCGCACAAAAGGGTCCGGATCTAGCCTGCAATCAGTGCCTCCTGGTCACTGTGCCATCACTACAAAAACTCAGCCTTCCTCACCCTCCTATATAGCATGGGCCAGAGACACCACTGGGCAGGCTAAGGAGCTCCTGAAGGCAAGAACTGGGTGGGTGGACTCAAGAGACAGCATAGCAAGTTGGAGGGAGGGCTCCAACCCACAGCCTCATCCCAGGTACTAAAAACATCCCCAACTCCTGTGATCAGCCTCCATCTCTGTAGTGCCAGCTTCCCACCTGTCTCAGTGACGTACGTAAGGCACAGCTTGCCATCTGCTTACTACAACCCTGAGCTCAGGATCTAGAATAGCTTTAGCTCCTAGGCACTAGAGACCCCAGCCAGGCGAAGGGGTGTACTTACTCGATCCCAGAGATAAGGCCATGCTGGGAAGCCACGTCCCATACATGCCCCAAGCCGCCCACCTTGGACGACCCCACAATGATAACTGCCAGCTGCCCCAGGAACATGACCAGAGTCTGGAACACATCTGTCCAGATGACTGCCTTCAGCCCACCCTGTAAGAAAAAGAGCATGCCTGACACAAATGTATTCAAAACCACCCACCAGCAAGTGCACTATATTGCTGTCAGGGGCATAATTACTGAGAGCCTATAGATATCATCTCCTATATCTCACTTCATTCCTTCCTAGTTTTGAGCTTCTCATCCACATTCTTATCTCATCCCAACTTTCCTTATCTCACCCACCCCTTTTCCTTCCCTTCCCATTTCCCTTCCTTACTTGATCTCATCTCCTCCCTCCCCAAGGACTCACTGCCCTTACCAGAGCAGTGTAGAAGGTACAAACAATGCCTAGGGTCAGCACTGACAGCCAGATATCAAAGCCCGTCACTGTAAAGAGAAAAAAAGTCATATTTCTGTCTCTGGAAGAGGATTTCCCAATGGGGAAGGCAGAGAAGCCCTGGTGAGACATGAAGCACTTGGTCATTTAGGATGAAATAAATCATTCACCACAGTGGGAAGAAACGTTCAGAACTCCACCAAAAGGTGGTGGCTGACCAATTCAGACAGGGCATAATAATGTTTGATTAGCTCTCAAGTGAACTGAAGCAAGCCTGCTTCTACCGCTGGTGGAGGCCAGCCAAGGGCACTGCAGTGAAATACCCAGGCCAAGGCTGGATTCTTTTCTGCACACTCTCCTCTACTTGCCCCTCCCAAAGGTGCCTTCCCTGCCTACTGGGGCTGGGAGCCAGGGGCTGGGACTCCTCACCTGCATTGAGGGCCAGTGATGGTGCATAGAGTACAACCCCCATGTAGATCACCTGTTGGGTACAGAAAAGAGAATGAGGGCAAGAGATGAGGGTGGACAAAGAGAGGAGGAAAGATGGACCTCAGCTCTAATACCCCAACAGCCTCCTTTCACCTAGGCTCACTTTCCTCTCCCTTCTTCCAAATTTTGGCTTGCTGCCACCATAGTGTCTGTGCAGGAACTGGAGGGAATGGGAAGCAGGATGCCTCTGGAGGTTTCAGTAACACTGACCCCTAGCAGGAATTTGATTCCTGCCAGTTTGAGAGCAGTGAGGCTCCAACTGCCTCAGCATGCCCAAGTTCAGGCCCCCCTCCCATGTCTCAGGCTCAATTCTAGCCTCATTCCACTTACCATCTGAAAGATGAAGGTCACAGTCCCACAAATCCGCACAGTTTTATTGAATCGGAGCTCCAGGTACTAGGTAGTATAAAAAATAAAAAAGTACTTCTCCCGACTCCACCCCCCATAATTCACACACAATTTCTCTCAAGAGGTCGAGAAATATGAGGGAATATCCAGTTCACCTCCATTCTAAGAGCCACTCAGCACAGCACCCTCCTCCCCAAACTCAACCTCACTGGGAGCCTAAAAACATATGATACAGTCCCTGTCACTCTTTTGGCAGAGGTAACCCAGGAACCAGGGCCCTTACATGTGCCCGGCTCCTCCTCTCCATCCTGAGCCTGAGGGTCCACTGTGCCCCACCCTGCTCACCTCATAGGCACTGGTGAGATGCAGGCGGTAGAAGGTGGGGATGAATATGTGTGCCGGAATCAGCAGCCCCAGTACATATGAGCAGCCCAAGAACCAGTACTGGGTCCCAAAGCGGTAGATCTCAGACGGCACACCCAGGATGGCCACAGCAGACTGGAAGGTGGCCAGCAGGGACAACGCCACGGGAAGGCAGCCCATTTTTCGATCCGCCATCTGCAGCTCGCCAATTGTATGCCGGCCCCAGCCACGGCAGGCATGGTAGAGCCCAATGGCAAGGGAGAGAACCAGCAACAGGGTGAAGACCACATAGTCCACAAGGGAGAAGGCGGATTTTACCGTGCTTGTATCTGGGGTTGTAGGGAGAGGAGTGAAGGTGGTCACCCCCACACTCATGGCCTCACTGTATCTATGACCTGTAGCCACTTGCTGCTCCTGGGCTCTGGGCTGCCACTTGGCTGGGCACTGGCAGGCAAGTGGCTACTACCTGGCTCTCAAGCAAGGTCTCACAGTCCTCCTCCACCAAGTAACACTGTCCAGGGTGACCTGCAAAGGAATCAGCTCTCAGTCAGGTCTATATCCTGCCTTCATGGCTGCCCACCCTCAGGCCAGTGCATCCCATATCCACCAAACTTGGACCAGCCAGCTCGGTGACAGACCTTGAAAGTCTGGGGGTTTTAGTATGGATTTGGTAAGAGAAAAAGTAGGGAGGAAGCAGCAGTGAGATGGTCAGGGTACAACTACTTGGCCAACACCTTTTTGAACATGCACAGCTGTGAAATATAAAAACCTTCTTAATCTCCATCCCACAACAAAAGAAAAATCAACTCTAGCTTATGTTTCTTCTCAGAAGATTTCCTTGTTCCCACTTGCAGGCACAGACCCAGTCACTACAATATACTAAGCCAGCAGAGCCCAACCTGGCGCCACAGCCCAGCAGGGAAGAAGAAATGAAGACTAATAACAGCACGGTTCCCTCTATTCCCCCTCGCCTCGGCCCCCACCTCCCATGACCCTGTTTCACCCTGCTAACAGCACCCTTTCTCAGCACTGATTCTCAATGAGATCACCTCCATGGCAGCCCCCAATTCCATTCCAGGCATCCCCAGGCCAACCATTTATCCCCAGTATTGCCACTTGTTTCTCAGCTACTCTACCTGTAACACCACAATCAATAGCAGATCTGGGAAGAGGGGTGGGATTCAAAAGTGAGAGGGGTTCCCCACACAAAATGCCCAGTGAAACCAGAGAAACCGTCCTGACTACAGAGCAGGAGTTGCCCCAGCCCCAGAATCTGACAGTGATGAATCAGTACCAGAGCTCAAGGAACAGATTCTACACAGGCCACCACATAAGTCCAACTGGCAGCAGCAGTTGAAATCAATGAAAAGGCATGGAAGGCTATGTCCAAACTGGGTCTTTGACAGGTTACAGGGGTTACTAGGGTCACCATCTAGAACTCTAATATCTTCTTTGTCATCATAAAACCAGATGTCTACAAGAGCACAGCTTCAGAATCTACATAGTTTTGGGGGAAGTCAAGATCAAGGATTTATCACAGCAAGCATTCCTAGCAGCTGCTGAGAAACTGAAGGTGAAGCTGCCTCAGACATACAAGAAAACACACAGACTAGACTCCAACTACGCAAGAGGAGAGTGAAGGGGAAGAGGTTGATGAAACAGGAGTGGAAGTTAAGGACATAGAACTGGTCATGTCACAAGTAAATATGTCGAGAGCAAAGGCGGTCCAAGCCCTGAAGGACAGCAATAATGATATTGTAAATGCTATTATGGAATTAACAATGTAACCTCCTAAAAAACAAGGACCTTTTTTGGTGTTTCAAAAGAGTAACTGCAGCTTGGTTTGAAATTTGTACTGTTTCTATCATTATAAAGTTATGGCTTCTTGTGGGATGAAAAAAAAGTGAGAGGGCAATGTGCTAGAGCCAGGGGTTCAGAGTTATGATTACAGGAACACTTTGGGGAGAAGCAAACCAGCCAGACAGCTGGGACAAGGGGGACGGCCAGAGAGAGTGGTCCTATCCTGCTGGGGCAGACAGCTTACTTAGAGAAACAATCCTTGTTCTGAGGCAAAGCTGCCTGCAGAAGCTGTGTCTGGAGCTGGGCAGAGACTGAGGGTCTGGCTCTATAAGTGGCTACCAGTGAAATCAGGAATTGGGGAGGGCAGAGTGAAACTCAGCAGCTGTTTGTTCTGGCCCCTTGAGGGAACCAATCGCTGTGATCCAAATGGCCCTATCACCCTATGGCCCCAAAACTCCAGCTCCAGAATGGGGAGCAAGGAGCTCACAGTCAACAACATTCCTAGATGGATTAGGCTTTTAGTCTAAGTCACTCTTGGCACTATCCTAGAGGGAATTGGAAAGGAGGGGCTGAGAGACAATGGGAAAGTTGCTTTTCTGGCTCCTGCACAAGAAATACTAATCCTCAGAGAATATACCATTATCTTTAGAACAAGGATAGGATCATAGTATTTAAAAATTTAAAGGAATCTTATGAGGTCATCGCCAAGATAGCACCCTCATTTACAAAGATACTGAAGCTGAGATAATTCAATGATCTTTTCAAAACAACAGAGCTGATTGTTGCCAGACACTAGATTAGAACCTAGGTCTAGTGATCTCCCCACTCACTGGCACTCTCCATTTATATCACAATGTATTTAGAGACTTTCCCCTAGGGCAGCGATTTTCAATTTTTCATCTTATGGCACATGAAGGTGGGGTGTTTGATTCCTGATCAGGGCACATGCCCAGGTTGCAGGTTCAATTGCATGTGGAAGGTAGCCAAGTGATATTTCTCACATCAATCTTTCTTTCCCTTTCCCCTTTACTCTCTCTAAAATCAATAAAAAACTAAATTTAAAAAAGTTCTTCCAGCACAGCTGTTGAAAATCACTGCCCTAGGATACTTATTGGTATTAGGGGAAAAAAATACCAGGGAATACCATGTATTTAGATTGCCTAAGATGATGATAGCATTTTTTGAACACCTGCTATGTAACTCAGCAGCATGCTATGTACTTTACAGACATTAGTAATAAAGTAATTGTAATAAATAATAAAAAATAATTGAAATAAATGAAGACATAACCATAGCTATCACTCTCAAAATACCATGTCTCAGATTATGCACTTTACATGAATACTCTCTAGGAAACTGAAATTTAGAGAGGTTAAGTAACTTGCTTAAGGTTGCACAGCATGGCCCAGCCGTTGAGCATCAACCTAGGATCCAGGAGATCCAGGTTTAATTCCCGGTTAGGGCACATGCCTGGGTAGCAGGCTTGATCCTCAGGTGGGGGCATGCAGGAGGCAGCTGATCAATGACTCTCTCATCATTGATGCTTCTATCTCTCCCTCTCCCTTCCTCTCTCTGAAATCAATAAAGGTATATCTAACAACAACAAAAAAAGTTATACAGCATGATACAAAAAATGGAAGAAACAGTACTATCCACAGGCATAACAGGTTATTCACCAGTGGCCCCATTCTTACTAACCAGGACAGAAGTAGAATGTTAATTGTAGTCAGTCATTCATGGAACAAAGTTTAGATTTCAACTAATGTAGACAGATCACTATAAGCTATGTCTTCTGTTCTTGCCCACTAGGAGAAAACCTGGCTGTCCTCCAGCTCTCCCACATCGTGTTCTGGGCAGATGTTGCCTGCTGGAATATCGCCTCACACAAATAAAACCTGAACTCTGAAACTCCTGGGGCCAATGAAGAGAGGAAATCAAAGCTGGCAACTCTGGGATCACATGTTACAAATGTCAGTCCTCAGAACAATGTTCCCAGTAGGCCACTCTGGTTTAACCTAAAGATGCCCTGGGCCTTTGTGTTACAAAATAGTAAGCTAGGAAAATTCCAGGACAAGCGGAATAGGTAAACTGAGACAGATAGTTAAACAGCAGTTTGCAGCCACCTAGTAAATCCTACCTTCCCTAAACCAAGGACACTTAAAAGTAAATGGTTGTACTTCTCCTCCCCAACCAGAGGGTAAATACCTTAACCCAGTAAAAAAGCCTACATCAGACATGATTCTAAGAACACCCTACTTAGGGAGACAGCTAGCAGAAATCCAATTAGGGTCATTTGCCAACCACACCCAAAGGCAGATGAATTAAGAGAATAAATCTCAGTTTGGTACATCCGCATAAAGCTGATGAATAATTCTATTGATCTGCCCCTAAGACATCCCCTAAACGCCTAGCATTTAACATCCCTGAAAATGAAGGTCCCAATGTGCTCTCCCTCTAGGGAGCACGCTTGTGCCATTCCCTTCCCCCACAGCCAAGTGTCCCCCAACCTCTAAGGGACCCCATGTGACTTGCAACCAGGGGAGCAATGGGGAGCAGCAGCCCATCTCAGGCTAACCCCCTGAACCTGTCTCTAAGGCCCCCTTCGCTCCGACTTCCCAGTGAGCCAAAACAGCCCAGCCTAGGCTCTCCTGTTGCTTCCTCTATGCCCTTCCTTGCACGTCTTTTACTGCTATGATGGAGGTGATACTGAAAAGTAAGAGAGCAGCTGTGTGCAAATAAGAATGTATAGTGGTAAAGGGTTAGTGATAAGGATAGGCAGGTAGTTGTAGAAAGAAAGATTCCAGTATAAACTAGAACGGACATACAGAACTGGAGACAGCTGAGGTAACCTGGCAGGGCTTTCCGATAAATTCTATCTGCAGGAGGTGTGGAGAACCCTCCTGGACAGCTTTATAGACAAGGCAGGAAAAACCTAACCCAGTAAAAAAACCATCAGACATGAGTCTAAGAACAGGATAGTGGCTAAAAACTACACGGATCTAAAACCTATGGACTTCTATCTCTCAGAGGCTGTGAGCCTAAAGAACGAAGTTGCCTCATTAAAACAGGGCACAAATAGCTGGCTGTGGGACACCTCTTTAAAATGCCTAGGACAAAGAAGAGAATCTTTTCCACCCACCTCCACCCTCACTTCAGTTACAAACTACACTGGATTGCTTTGACTCCGACAAATGTTAAGAGGCCACAGCGGGACCAAACATCCCAAAAAGATTCCTTCAAAATATGGCTTTGTGCTTAGAATTCCTTAAGGTCCGAAAGGCTTCAGGGGCCCTCACTGAAATGCTAATTTTAACTTAAAACTAATGCTAACTTTAATTCCTGGGGCCTTAATACTCCGTCCCTCCAAGCGCGTGCGCACTATCGCCACCTTGCACCTCGAGCCAGGGCCACCCCCGGACTGCGCTCGCCTTCCCCTTACCTCCGTGGCTCAGGCAGGGCTAAGGTCCCGTCCTTCTGCGATCAGCATCGCTCCCTTTTCCTGGGAAGGCGAAGGAGATGAGGAGTTAGGGAAACATCTATCCCGCCCCTACCTCCGCGCCGGAGCCCCGGCCGCCGCGCGGTCTCAGGGCTGAGGTGAAGAGGACAGCGTGCCCGGCGCGTCCCCAGGCTCGTCTCCTCACGCCAAGGTTTGCCCTTCGCCCTCCTCTCCTCCACCACTCTTACCCTCTTTATTTCCTGGCTTCCCACCTTCCTCCCACTGCGAAGTGGCGAGAGCACTACCAACCACCTCGCCGCCCTCACCTAATATAATCCCCGGCCCCCACTCCGGGGCCCCGCTCACCCCGCCCCTCTCCTGCAGGTCCCTCCCTCCTCGCTCTGACGCGGTCCTCCCGAGCCTTTCGGTGCAGGCCCACACTCTTCCGGCTCGCCCTCGTCCGGCCCACCTGCCGGGTCTCCAAGCCCGGGTCCGGCCGCCGCCGCCGCCGCCGCCGCCGAAGGACAGGTCCGCAGCACGCGGTACGGGTGACAGCCGGGCCCCGCCCCCTGCCTGCCCCGCCATGTTTACTGAGGGCTGACGGAGTAGCCTAGAGACGCAGCAGAGACGCGACCCCGGCGTCCTGGCGCAAGGAACACGGAGCTGAAAGAGCGGCGGCAGGAGGCCTTTGCTAAAGGAGGAGAAGGACGGGAGCGGGCCGGGGTCCCCTAACGAGGACTGGGACGCACGGAGAAGCAAGCAGGCCCTCCACGAGCAGCAGCCACCCCCAGCACCCTGCGCGGCCAACTGGCCGCACTACTAGTCCACGCCCCCTGGGGGCGGAGCCACGCGCCAAATCTCGCGATCTGCTGAGAAGGACTCGGAAAGCCAAAAAATGTCCTCTCGCGGTCCTGGCAGGCCTCGGATCCCGCTACCCTGGGCTGCGGCTCTTCTCCTCGCTCTGGGCGTGGAAAGGGCTCTGGCGTTACCCGAGGTACAGAAGCAAGTTAGAGGTCGGACTGAAGCAGAGGTGCTGGGCCAGCTTGTGTGTCGCGCTCAGCCGCCCTCAGCTCTCCCCAGCCGGTCGGCTTCCCTGGTTTTGCCCTTGAGGCCTTACCAGCCGAAGCCCAGCGGGCTGGCGCTCAAGATTCCTCACTCTGCGCAGATTTCCCAGAACCGTTGCCCTGCTGACATCCAAAGAGCCTTTGATCTTTGACCTCCTCGCACCTTAATCTTTCAGTAACTTTTAAGTTCCTTCTACAGATGAGCCCTTTGGCTCTTCAGGCTCTCCACGAGAGTGCCTTATATCGTGCGGTGGCAGGATTGTCTGTAATGCTTGCTGAGTTATTTGTGTACCTGTAATCCTTTTACACTCGGCCAGACCTGGGCTGTCAGATTGAGAAGTCACTGGTGAGGATATAATACATATGTTCGGATAGTGATCCTCAAAGATGAGAGCCTTCTCTGGGTGTAGTCTGGTGCAGAAAGTCTCTGGTGCGCTGATTTGGCGCTTGGGAAGAGGCATCTCCTAGTCAAACCGGATAAAGGTAGGACACTTCCCTAGTTCTGGAGAGGTGTGCTGGCAGTTAACTTTTGATTACTGTTTGTTCTTTTCTTGGCTTTATTTTCTGGAGTCCTAATCGTTTTCTCTCTTCTGCAGATATGCATCCAGTGCCCAGGGCGTGTGCGAAATTTGTCAGAAGTGGCCCTTTATTGTAAGCAGACGCCAGAGCTAATGTTGTACTCCCGCTGCTGCCTGAATCAGAAGGGCACCATCCTGGGGTGAGGGAGGAGAAGACATCCCTGGATAGTGGAAAAGAGTCCCCAACCCAGATTCATCAAGGCTTGCCTGATTGGCTTTTGAGATAAATATTTGTGCCTATTTTGGAGGCATTTCAACCATGATTTTCATACTTTTAAATCTGTTATAGCATTTTTGGCTAAGTAGACAATCCTGCGGTTCTTCCTGGTTTAAACTACATACAAGTCTTAATTTTTGCCTGTTTTATTTTAAAGGCTTTTATGGCTTTGGTTTTTGTTTATTATCAAGGCTTTGGGTTATTTACTGTGTCTCCATGAAATGACCCCCTTAGCCTCCAAGACACTATGCTAATACGGTTCCCCCCCCCCCTTTCTGATTAATTCATGTTTGTCTTTGGGGCAAATTCCTCTACCTGTCCCCTTGTGCAGGTTAGTACCTGCATTTTCTCCCTTTATACCCTTGAGAATTCACCTAATTCTTATAGCTTCAACTGTAGCCACCATGTAGGTGTCCCCCAAATTAGATCTCTTTTAGTATCCCTTGACCTCTCTCCAAGCAGGTGCTTCTGGCTTCCTACTAACATTCCCTCTTGAGTGCACTCTCACTTCAAACTCAAAATATCATGTCTTGCTTCCATTCTCCTCTTTCCCTAATCTACCTAAATTCTTCTGTGTTAAATTTTCTGAAAACCAAATTTTTTTCATTACCATTCTCTGGCTTTAAAATTAGATTTCCAATTAATTGTCCACTGAAACCCTTCAAAAGCACTGTACCTTTGTTTCTTTATTTGGTTTTTGTTCAGGCTTCTCTCCTTACCTGAAATTGCCTTCCTCCACCAAATTAAGACTATCTGTTCTTTAATTCCAATATCTTTTGTGATTTCTCCCTACTACTAAATACCACAATATTTTTTTACTTCCACTAACCTTAGTGTCTGTACTACTCAAATTTATTTATATATTGTCCTGTGATTTCTTTCATATTTAATGTTTTTATTTTTGGTCTTGTTCCCCTACAACATTGTAAGCCATTTGAAAGCTAAGATACTGAGGGGTTTTTTTATACTCCAGATTTTTGCAGTTAGTAGGCACTCAGTAAATACTTGTAAAATAAAGGAACAGACAGCAATAGATACTGAAGAAAATAATGTGGCATGGTCCTTAATATCCACTAGTTTACATCCAATCTGTGGTAGAAAATGCACTCAGAAAAAAACTTCCATTTCTGTGATTTGAATTTTTTTCCATTTGAAGGTCCTTTGTGGACCTGAGAATCATAATGTGAGATTCATTAATCTAGACAAGAAACAAATTTCTTCCAATATATGCACAGATGCAAAGAACTTTCTGCCATGATAGAAATGTTCCATATCTATACTCTCCAATACAGTAGCTGTTAACTACATGTTAGTGTTTAACTGAACACTTGAAATGCGGGTAGTACAAATGAAGGACTAAATTTTTTTAATTTAAATTAATTTAGGTAGCTACATGTAGCTAGCTAGTGGTGACTGATTTGGACAGTGCAGAATTAAAACATCTACAGCATCTAGTGCATGGCCCTGAACACAGCTGTGTTCAACTAATATTTAGCAGGAAAAGAATTGTATTAGTCTACACTGGATAGAGAGAGACACATAGTTATACTGATTACCTTATTTCCTCAGGCTGGATCTCCAGAATTGTTCTCTGAAGGACCTTGGTCCAAACTTTCTTCAAGCTCATACTGCTATCATCATGTAAGTGGTTTGTCATCCTCCCTAACAAAAAGTGACTATGATGAAGCGTTGATGGGAAAGTCTTTGAGAATGGGCTCCTAAAAAAATGTTTGAATACTAATGTCATATCTTGGACCACTCAGAATGAGAACTGGAATGCCAGTTAAGGAAGATATGTGGCTGTAAGTAGGGTGTTTTCCTGAAGCACGGTGCTAACAGTGTCTGCTTTTCAGAGACCTGCAAGCAAACCCCCTAAAGGATGACTTGGCCAACACCTTTCATGGCTTTATCCAGCTCCAGACTCTGTAAGGGTATGGGGTTAGGGAAAGAATCAAAGAGGGGCAGTGCTGTGAGCTCAGTAACTTTGGGTTGCATACTAAGACTGCTTGTGTTGTGTTCAGGATACTACCACAAGATGTCAGCTGTCCTGGAGGTATTAATGCCTGGAATACTGTCACCTTTTATACAAACAACCAAATCTGTCAAGGGCAAAGGAACCTTTGCAATAGCAGTGCGGACACAGGTATGCTGTCTCACCTCCATCCTTTTGGAAACTGCCTTTCCTCCTTTGTATTCTCCCCATTAGATCACAAAGATGGTAAAATTGCTTACATGACTTTTGTTCAGGTTTCTGAGGCTCTAACCCCTTGGAAAGAAAAGGTTATGTTCTGATTATCTGTCATCTTTCTTCTCCTTTGACAGAAATAATTGAGATAATCTAAACTGAAGCAGATATTTGAGAAACATACTTAATGAGATCCAGTGATGTTCTGTGTTTCTCTCTGACTCCCAGAAATATGTCCTGAGAATGGATCTTGTGTGCCTGATGGTCCAGGTCTTTTGCAGTGTGTTTGTGCTGATGGCTTCCATGGCTACAAGTGTATGCGTCAGGTGAGGAATTAGTTCTTCTATTGAGCGATAAGAGAAATGCATAGAGCAAATACCTCTCAGAAAGTAGAGCCATAAGACCAGCAGCTGATTCAAGTTACCTAGTGAAGGAAACGCTGAAAAATTGCCCTGGGTGAGGGGATATACGGTATACTAGGAAAGAACTGGGTGTTAGGATGTAGCCCTTGGTGTAACGCTGTATGAGTTTTTAAAAATCTTTTATTCACAGGGATCATTCTCGCTACTTATGTTCTTTGGGATTCTGGGATCCACCACATTATCCATCTCCATCCTGCTGTGGGGAACCCAACGCCGGAAAGCTTCATGAACTCCATAGGTCTTCCTACTGACCTGAAGATCATCTCAGTCTATTGTAGCCGAGCCAGGGAGATTTGCTTCCTAGATAGGCTGGCCAGAGGATCCTCCTCAAGGATAAAGCCATGGATGGAAGGAAGATGGAACCTTGTACAACACTGGAGTGGCACATTCCAGTCCGGGAGTGGACCTGTACCTGTTCCCATTTGTGCTGTTAACGATAATAAACTTTTTTTTTTTTTTTTT